CTTTGCTCTATCCCCGCTTGGAAAGAGCTTACAGACTGCAGGCAATAACTTCATTTCGCTGTAAGGCAGGATTTCTTATCAACAATAACAATAATAATGACTATTCGTTGAGTGCCAGTGATTTTAAGAACTGTGTGATGTGCGTGCGCGTGTGCACACACACACGTATATATAAAATACAATCATATATGTGCTGTGTCATTTATACATTGTATCAGTGAGTCTTCCCGTATGAAACTGAGGTTCAGAGAGGTTCAGTAACTCTCCCAGCCTTAAGAATTGCTCAACCTTGGTATTGGTCACCTTAAGGTCACAAACTACTTGGAATCATATGAAACGGAGAAAAATGGCCTAGGAGGATGTTGATTACCTCCAGTTATGACCAATCAGGTAACTCCCAGAAAGGCATCTTGATATCAGCTCTGACTAGTATGTAAGTTTAACCAAATCACTCATCAGATGTCTTTCGAACCCCTGGTAGCGGTTGCCTGCCCAGGGCAGTAATCTCCTGGTGTTTGTGATCGGAGTGATGAGATCGTGGCCGTGCAGAATGGTGAGAAAGTGGGGGGAACCCTAAATTTTTAGTTAGACAAAAAGACAAAATATGTCCACACTTCAGTCTTACCTCTTCCTAGCTCTCTAACTTCGGGCAAATTATTGAGCCTCTCTGAATTTGTTTTCTCATCTAAAAAATGCAGATGATGACGATACCACCTACCTCATATGGTTGTTGAAGTGAATTCAGTAATGCCTTTACGTGATCACCACAAACACATGTTAGATATTATTATAAATCCTTTAAATTATTACCAAGAGCTCACTGTTGTCCTGAGAGTGAAGTGATAGGTACAACTAACACTATTGTATTTTTTTTTTTTTCCAATTCTTTGGGAGCAGGGACATTTTTCTCAAGACCAAGCTATCTCCCAAAATAGGTCCTGAGAAATAAGCGAGGTGTTAAGAATACCAGTGCCCGTGTTCCCATTCCGTTTATAATTAAAGGTAAAATGCAGGCTTTGTGTGGAAGTCCACCCAAGGCTCCATGACAGCCCAGCCCAAGGACCGCTGGCTGATGAGCGCTCTTGCATGGTCGGGTTCCCGCCACCTCGCTGCCACTTGTTACCAGCGGCCTGCAAGCAGAGCCAGGCCTCTGCAGGTGTGGAGCTCCTGCTGGAATTACTTAGGGTGCATGAGAGAGCAAATCATTTAGGCGATAGAGCTGGGAAAGTGAGCAAATTAGAATTTTTCATAGCAAGAGTGTTCATTGTTCAGCCAATTCGTGATTATCTGTGTGCATCCTGCTTCAGATATTCCCCTCCACAATAACCCTCTCTGCGGGGATGAATATGTATGCAGGCTAATTTAATCAATATACTTGTGACAGGAGTGGTGCCTGACAGAACTCATCCTTTGAAATACTGGCTGAGTTCATGCGTGCAGTGTATCTATGGGCCAAGACTCCTAATTTGTGTTAAAAGATTCTTTGGAAAAAACCACAACGCGGTCTGTTGGAAAACGGAAGGCCTGAGGGATGGAAAGCAAAGGGCAGGGGATTTCTGTCCCTTTTCCCTCTTCTTGGACTGAAAACTCAAATTTATGAAACGAAGCTGCCTTCCTTCTGAAAAATGTGCAAGTCAGAGACTGCGTTTTTTATGCTCACTGCTACAGTTGAATTCGGTAAATTGACTCAAGGGTGGGGGGGCGGGGGGCTGTTGTGCATTCTTGGATTAAATGGAAGACTGAGTGCCCTGCTCCATTCTGCAAATGTTTGCTTTCTGGAAATATCAACATGTGTGATCAGATGACATTTAGAGAGTTTGCTTTTTGGAGCAGGTGTATTTTAGTCATTTCTTAAAGAGCACTCGTAACTGAAATTGTCTCCTGAGATAAGATTGCCCCCCAGGAGGCAGGCTAGCAGAATAGTTTGATTTGACCAGTCAGACTACCCGAACCTTGCTTTGGAGGACCCTTCCGTTGCCATAATTACCATGAGCTTCCTAGTGAAGCTTGTTCTAACCACATCTGATTCTTTGGCCAGCATTGCCCACTGAAACTCAGCACAGACACAGTGGGTGACAGATGGCCTCCTGCTTGAAAATATCGGTCATCTACAGTGAGTATAGAGACCCACTGGCTTCCATAAAGCTTGTAAAATATATCTTAGCTTGAGTGTCCTCCAGATCGGAAAGACCCTGAGAGCTGAAACAGCTGAACACCAAGAGGTTGGGAGACTGACTCGCCCAACAGTCAGTAGAGGCACCAGACCCTGGGTTGGTGCTACAAGGATGCACCCTTCCGGCAGCTAGGCCATGAGCCACTTCCACGGTGAGCGTGCTGGGCCAGGGCGGCACTCCCATCGCGAGCAGACGCCTTCAAGCCAGACCTCCGGATCACTTGCAGGGTTACAGCAGCCTTTAGAAGACATTTTGGTCACTGGCGTAAATATCATCATTTCACTTCTGATGGGTACTACACTGAGTGAGAGTCCAGGCCCACTGAACAGCAATGTATCATTTTCCATTTGATCCAGATAGTTCACTTGGCAATCCCAGTATGGCCCACCCAGGGCCTTCATAGCTGATGAAGAACGAAATAGCTGTGCTTGATCTCCTCATCGTTCAGGTAGAATGAAGATAAGTCTGGAAAGCCCCAAGTTTAGCACTAGTGTTACTTTACTTGCTTATAGTTTTCATACTGACTTAAACTTCAGGGCCCAACCAGGTGGGTCAGTGTCTAATTTCTGTGATGAGACAGACACAGAAGCTGCTCGGTGTTAATCTGCTTTATTCCACATACAAATTTTGTTGAATAGATGGTCCAAGTACCTGTGTTGCCTAATTATTCTATTCTTTAGGGGTTGGGTGGAGGAGGCAGGTTCTCATTATAGTCTAGTTCATTCATATGGAAAATCCCAGGCAATAATCTGAGCTGATATCACCTTTCGGCTACCACTTGGCTTTTGTGAGTCCCTGAAAAATGTTGGGCATTAACTATTTCTCTGTCTCTCGAGTTGCAGACAATCCGTAGCACAAAACTTTGCCTTGACTATATTAAGAATATTGGAGGGACTGTAAGCGTGAAACATTATTAGATTTCATAGAGAATTTTTCTTGAAGAAATCAAGCAAGGCGCTAAGGATAAGGAGACTGACTTAGAGGTGATCATTTTTGTTAAATGTGACCTTATAACATACAAAGTTGCATACCTCAGAAATAGGTATATTTGACAGTGTACAAAGACACCATTATTATATATATTGGTGTATTAGAAAGCTTCAAGATTATGGAAAATATATTGGATGTGATATTTCAAACCATCTCTAACTCTGGACAATAAAACTCAGTATGTCAACCCTAAAAGTGACCCATAGGGCCCAGCTGGAGTGGCTCAGTGGATTGAGGGTCATCCCATGGACTGAGAGGTCCCGGTTCAGTTCCTGGTCAGGGCACAGGCCTGGCTTTCAGGCTTGATCCCCAGGAGGGGGCGTGCAGGAGGCGGCTGATCGATGTTTCTCACATTGATGTTTCTCTCTTTCTCCCTTCCTCTCTCTCTAAAAAAATTAATAAAAACATATTTTAAAAAATAAATAAAAGTGACCCACAGGAAAAGGGCTCTCCAAATAACTTGCACTCCCAGATCAGTACTGTACGAGTCCCCTTGAAAGGAAGTCATCGGGTACACATGCTATATAATGAGGTTAAGTCCAAGAATTGCATGTGTGCTCTAATTATTAAACGCAACATCACATCAAATTCAAAGTAAGTGTTGTGGAAATTATCCCAGGGTATGGGATACTGGAAGGAAGAGTGGACTGTGTGCAGATGTGTGCTACTTACATCATGTAACTTAATCCTTAGATAAGTCATTGCTTTGAGTAAGGTATGGGGCCATGTAGGAGCGATATGAAAATGAAATGTACTTGGGCACTTCCAATTGTGTTTGTGTGAGTGATTTAGTAGATAATCTGATATTATGTCCAGTAGTGAAAACCATGGACAGTAAACTTAGCATAATGGAACATTCCAGGGAAACTGGTGAACATAGCCGTCTGTATATATACCTCGGTGTTGATCGTCTTTTTTTCATATATAAATTATATTTCATAGTTGATCCAAGTACTTTGTTTTGCCTAATTATTTTATCCTTAGGTTATTTTTTTAATACTTAACTATGCTATTTCCAACTCTGCTCAAGATTTAATGTGTTTACTTAGAAATGTGCTTTGTCATATTTGGGAACTTTGGTGTAATATACATTAACTACTGGGTTAGGTTTACCGCATGAGGCATGTTTAAGTAATCAATGGGATAGAAACACAAGCACACTGAACCAGGAAATCAATTTCCAACGTAAAGAATTTCGAAGCCACTTATTCTATTTGTCAGGATTCATCATTATTAAAATCAGATAGGATATTATCTTTATGGTTGAAAGGTTTTGATGGTACACAAATGGACTCATTTTTAACATATGGCAACTGTGTTAATTAAAAAAGGATGAGTAAGGAATTCTTAATGTACCATCATATGTAACATTAATATTTTGAATGGAATCATTTTCCTAAGTAGTCTTGACTTTTTGGAGTATGTTTTTCTCTACCAGTCGAGCTACATGCTCAGCCAGGACAGATTTATGACCTTTTAAAAATAATGATGGAAAATGAGATCGGAGGAAACATTTTAGTATCTGCTTTGCTCTGAGGCCTAAACTGCGAACTCTCCAGTTCTGGGAGGCTTTGAAATGCTGATTCCAGCCTTCTTGTGGGTCCTTAAACACCTTCTCAAATGACCCATTTTAATAACCCGAAAGCTATTATATAACGAGCAGCCATAATTTAGTCCAGGGCTCTAGGGGGACCCTCACAGTTCAGCAATGAATAGTTAATGCAGTATAATGTTTAGCAGGTTATTAGTTTTCACTATACAAATGCCGATCAGGGAACGCTTTTATAAGGTGTTTAAAAGAAAATGTAATTAACTGGTTGCGTGCTTCTGTTGCAGCTCAAATTGAAATTATTCCATGCAAGATCTGTGGAGACAAATCATCAGGAATCCATTATGGTGTCATTACATGTGAAGGCTGCAAGGTAAGCCTTTTTAATTGTTGTTGTTGTTTCTATTAATGTTAGACTGTATCTTTGAAATTCTCGGTTTTTACTACTCCTGTGTCTAAAAATTCAACTCTGGGGAATTTCGAGTGATGAGAAATGACAGGATAGAATATTTCAGTGTTAAATTACACGTAAAAATGTTATATATTTTTTATGCCTTCCATTAAATTAACAGGAGGCTAGATAAAGGTATTTGAGCCTTGCTTGTTTGTCACTTCCAATCCCAGAATTGATTAATCTGATGAACAACCTCTTGGGTTATCTTTTTTCAAAAGAGATGACTCTCGACTTCTATAATGTCCCTGTTTAAGCTTTTATAAAAAGGCATTTGCAGTAAGTTCAATCGGAATATGATTGAAAGTCTTACTGTTGGCACACAGATGTTGACACAGCTGGCCAAATTATGGCAAGACTGTTGGAAAGAACTGAGCTCTGGTCCTGGTGCCACCGCATGTCCATTCTGTCTGGGGCATGTCTTAATCATTTAGTGACTCAGTGTCTTCATCTATAAAGTGGGCATAACAACTGTTCTTCCTATCTTGTAGAACTATTCTTAGAATGAAAAACTGTAAATAAAAGTTCTTATAAACTGAAGAGCACAGTTTAAATCCAAACATTATCCCTCTTGTTGCTGTTAACGTTTTCGTGTTGACGGACGCCGCTCTCGGGGCAGAGTGTACGGAGCACACACAATACGGCAATGCCAAATGGAGATGTTGATCCTAATCATTCAAGACCCCCAAACCCAGATTGCCTCTGTTATTCAAATTTCAATTTATTGAGACTTAAATCCTCCTGCTTATATTGGAAGGGCCTTGAGACAGCTTACAGGATAAAACAGTGCAAAGTCAACAGGAGAGCAGCTATTTAAACATGCTGCAGGCTCGGAGACCATCGATCGCCACTGAACCAAGCCGGAGTTCGCCCGAAGGCATTTTGAAGCTGAGGCAAAAAATAAAACCCACGAATTTGGTTAGCTCTCCTGTGGTGAAATTAGAAAATACAGTGTCGTAAAATACAAAATCACCTCCAAACACAAATAAGTACGGAAAGGTTGCAGGGAAAGTTGCCTCATAATGTCCTGAAGTCTTTGTTTTACTGTTAATCGTCGCAACATCTGCCACTTTGTACGGGTGCAAACGCTTCATATGGAGCCCATCTTGGTGAAGTTTGAGATTTCTGTATGACTGCAAACATACTTAATTTTTTTTTTTTTTTTAAATCACCAGCCTTTTAGGAATAGGGGACCTGCTACTTGAAGGGGAATTTGAAGTATTTATCTCTGTGGTATCCCTCAAGGCCTCAGGGTTATGGATTACCAAGAAAAAAAACAAAACGGCTGTGCCCTTTTACTTCCTCAGTTTGCCCTCCCTGACAGTGAATTAATTGATTAAAATAAAACAAAATGGAATCAACTGCCCAGCCTATGCCTGTGCCATCTCTGAGAGGGATCTGCCGGTGACAGCTGTCACCTGATGCCTTTCAGAATGAATCTGGCTGATGTGGCTGGGCAGGTGTAACACTTCACCCCCATCGACTCTGCCCACACCTTCCCAAAGCCATGTTCCTGGTGAAGATAGCATGGCCTTTGCGGATGAGGGATGTGTAGACAGCAGTCCTTCCCCACCAGGAGTTCCAAGCAATGGTGATTTTTGTGCACTGCCTATTACCTAGGTGTTTTCTTAAGTGGACAGGGTCCTAGACATTAACCACTCTGAGTACCTTCATTCTGCCCAGGAACCTGCTCCCTCCCTTCGAGTCTTTCAGTAATGCCACATGTAGTTTTACGTGGCAAACTGAAGTGAGAAGCTACGAATGGAGTCTGTGGGTAGGGGCTACTTCCTATGAATCACCCCAACAATTCGGATTAATTAACAGCATACTATTCAATAAAAACTGAACTGCCTGCCCAGCTGGTGCGGTCCAGTGCATTGAGCATCGTCCCATGGGCTGAGAGGTCCTGGTCCAATTCCTGCTCAGGGCACATGCCCAAGTTGTAGGCTCGATCCCCAGTAGGAGGTGTGCAGGAGGAAGTGATAGACGATTTTATCTCCCTCTCTTCTCTAAAAAGTAAAAAAAGTGTGTGTGTGTGTGTGTGTGTGCATATATATACTGAATTGACTGTCTGAGTACCACTGTGTTTACGTAGGCATGAACAACATGTGTTTTCTGTTTATCCCCAGTGTTTATGAAAGAAGTAAAAGCAATAGAAAAAAGAAAGAGCAGCTATTACTTCATAATTGTCACTTCTCTAGACTCCCTTTCAGATCTTGTCCATATACGGACTCAACGCCAAAGTGGCTTTCGGTTATCTGTGTTCCTCTGTTCAATGTCACCGAAACAGACAATTAAAACTTAATTTTATTAACAGATTGGGCCTATGCCCAGCCTGGGTCCTATACAATGATATGTTTATATTGGATGCACATAGTATTTATTCTGCATAATAGTTTCTCTCAGCTATTAACTAAGGTTTTCATTTCTCGCTGTGGTGAAGTCAAGAGCTTTCTGCTTTTGCCACCTCGTGTTAATGATTTATCATATTCTAACCAGGTGAAGGTGGTTACATTTTGACAAATGGTAAATAATTTATCTCTGTGTTAGTATCATTACTCATAAGGACAATTTATAATTCGATATATAAATAGATGTCCAATGAGAGGAAAGAAAGTGACTCAGTCCTTTTCTGAGCTAATCATTCTGTGAATGTATTTTAAATTGCATTTAAAATTGACAACCTGAAACAACAAAAAAACTAGAGAACTGAGTTAATTGCTGAAATGAGTATCTATTAAATCACATATTGGCTCAGGTAAGCCTTGTCCAGGAACAGCACAAACGGTGGGGGTTTCGGTGGCTCTTTCTCTGGTTCCTGGGTATTCACAGCTCACCTGCTCCTGGTCCCTTGGCCTCCCAGCAGAGAGAGAGGATTGGCTCATGCCTGTGCTCTGACTCGGGAACCACCCTGCCTGGGTTTGAATCCCAGCTCTCCTGTTTACCAGCGTGAGCATCTCCTCAACCTCTCTGTGCCTCTGTTCCCTCCTCGGTAAAATGAGGGTAGTAATTGCAGTTCACGTCATAGGGTTATCCCGTGCGTTCCGGTAAAGCACTTAGAAAAGTGCCGGGACATCAGAAGCACTCAGTAAGTGTGCGCTGTTGTATTATCATTCCTGGCCAAACTCCTTACGCCTGAGTTATGCTGTTTCTCCATAGTCAGATACTATTTCAGGTTATCTATGGGTCCAGTCCTGATTTTCATGACGATTTGTGATTTGTTATATAGACTCTGCCAATAAAAACAGCAAAAATATGAGCATCCACTTTGGGACCAGGCACTTAATAAGCATTGTAAGGGATTCAGAGACATAGAAGGCCTAATGCTTTCATCAAGCAGTTTACAGTCTAGTTGCAGCGATGAGGCCAGCATAGGAAAAGCTTAACAGCAATGCAAGAGCCAAGTACTAGAGTAAGGCCACACACGGGGCACTTGTCCACGAGGCAGCAAGAGCCTACCAGTGGCGACATCTTAGTTGTAATTTAGGGACAATATATAACCCAGTTTTACTGGAGCAAGGGGTCACTTCCTGGATAGTGGAATATATAAGGATAGACAAGTACACCATTCCCAAAACTTTAAGGGCTCCGTTATGCTAAGATTTTTATTTTAAAAGTATTTTAGCCCTGGCCAGTTTTGCTCAATGGTTAGAGCATTGGCCTATGGATCAGAGAGTCCCAGGTTCGGTTCCCGCTAAGGGCGAGTGCCTCTGTTGCAGTTTGTCTCTGGCCCTGGCTGGGGTCGTTTGGGTGGCAACCACTCGATGTGTCTCTCTCACATTTATGTTTATCTCTCTCTTCCTCCCTCTCTCTCTCCCACTATCTGAAGATAAATGCAAAAACGTCCTCGGGTGAAGATAAAATAAATAAATAAAATAAAATATAAATAAAAGTATTTTAACCCTGGTTCAGTGGTTAGAGTGTTGGCCCATGGACCAAAAGGTCACAGGTTTGATTCCTGGTCGAGGGCATGTACCTGGGTTGCAGGTTTCATCCCTGGCCCCAGTCACAGTGCATGCAGGAGACAACTAATCAGTGTATCTCTCTCACATCAATGTTTCTCTCTCTCCCCCCCCTCCCTCTTTCCCCTCCCTCTTTCCCCTCCCTCCCTCACACGCTCTCTAAAAATCAATGGAAAAATATCCTTTGGTGAGGATTAACAACAACAATAAAAAAGTATTTTGTTTTTTGTGTTTTTTGAAATAGTGAGGTAACAGGGTAACAGCCCCGCTCAAGCCCTGAATATTGCATTTCAGAAGAACATAGAAACCAGGTCTGCAAGCTTAGTTCTGTCTGTCAAGACATTTTGAGCTCTTGGAACAGAATTCAGTCCCAGCCCTGGGTGAACACCAGGAGGGGTGTATGGTAAGCTGGGGTAGACCTGCCAGCAGCTGGGGCTAGGCCCTGGAAAAGGCCAGAAATAAAGTGAGAGAGAGGCTGTCGATGTTAGGGCTAAGATTCAGTCTTCAAAGTGAATTAAAATGCTGAAGTGTTTATAGAAAAATGACCATTAGTTGAGGTTTTCTTTTGAAAATGGTCCTATTTATCATTCACCTTCAGTTCCTAGATTTATCATTAGATACAATGGCTGCTCAGATGACGATGATAAAAAATGTATCTCAAGATAAAACACACACACACACAGTTTTTTAAATCTGTATCTTTGTAGACTTTTTAGCTCTACAATTTCAACTGTAATTTTTAAATGCTAATGTACAGTTGTGTATTGAAATTAGTGAATTGATTTCTGATCATGTTTAAGACCCTTTGCTCTTGATAGATCTGAGAGTAGCATTTGCTTATCCATATTTACTCATCATGATAGATTTAAGGTGACTTATGCTAAGCTTCCTCTTCCACCCAGTAAAGGGAGAATTTGTAATAGTTTCTTTGCATTTGCAAATATATTATCTGAAATTAAC